GACCCTGGGATCATGACCTGAGCCGAAGGCAGACACTTAACGACTGAGCCACCCAGATGCCCAACTTTTGAGCACTTTAGTATTGCCTACATATCTATGCTTAAGAATGTCTTAGATTTCCCAAGAGATACAGAGGGTTAATCAAGGAGCTCTAAAAACAGTGAAACAACTAAGTTTAACAGAACCTTTTGACTACAAAACACAACCATTATGAGGTTGTTGAAGCATTTGTCAAAGGAGTTTCCCTAGCCAGTTTCAGTCTGTGTTGTGTTTCTTGGCTGGATGAAGATATCATATCAGTCTTACTTATAGCTCAACTACTGTTCAGTTAAACTCTAGAGTTACTTGATTTTCAAAAGAGCTACTTGGTGCAAATATTTAATTAAAGCTAAAAATCAAAAGTTGAAGCCCTTGTTGAAACTCATTTGTAATGGGAATGTACTTAGTTAAACATTTTAAAACATGCCTTATCACCTGTAATTATGTTATCTTTTAAAATGGAATTAAAAATATATATACAATGAGTTGAGGTCATGTTTGTGCAGTTAAACTTAGGCTAAAGAACATTTAGACAACTAGCTAACATGCATGAAACATTTACTTATATGGTATTGACTTTTAGAATTTATTCCTGGTAGCTACCCCATTAACACAGTGGTCAGATGCACAATAAGTGGTATAGAGTTCTAGCTGTCCTCTTGTTGCATTTTTAAGCATTCTAGAACTAATAACATCTGGTAATTTACTAACATCTTCTTGTCTAAAATTGGGATTAAAATCAATAAAGCATTGGAGTTTCTTTCATGTATTTTTCTCTTGTGGGTTGTCAGATAATCTTAAAGGAGTTTTTTAGTAACAGTGATCTTAGTTTGTCCTATTTGGCTAAGCACCCATAACTATTCCATACATGAGGGTTTTATTACTTTTTAAATGAGGAATGATAACACATATTTATATATGTTCCTTTGTTATACGTGGTCCTTAGAGCAAAAAAAACCGAAAGTTATTGTTTAGTTTTTATTTAATCAGAAACTGAAATCTAGAAATTGTAATGATTTTATGAAATTCATTTTCCTTGGAAACAAAATGCCACAAAAAGAAAATAAAAAAAGAAGAAAGAAAGAAAAAGAAGAGAAAAGAAAGAAAAGAAAAAACAAAATACCAGAAGTGAATGAGCAGTTAAGGACTTTTAAATGCTCAGCACTGGGAGGTAACCTGTTAAAGAGGCAAGAGAAGGAAAGTGTTCTGTATTTAGGATTCACAGGGCTGGCTTTGAAGTCCAGCTTTGCTAATCACTAGTTTGGTGTTCCTGACCAATACTCTTTACCTGCTAGAGACCCATTTATCTCCCTCTGAAATGGGAGATAATGCTGCCTTCCTACCACCCAGGGCTGGTTTTAGGAGGCTCACTTGAGATAATGGATATAAAAATGCCCTGTACATTAGAAAATTATGTAAAAAAAAATTATCATTTCTGTTGAGGAATCAAGCAATACAGATAGAATTGTAAGCATATCAGGAGGTTAGGTTCTAAATTCAAGTCCTGAAACAAAAAAACTGATTAAAGTCAAAATTACTCTTGGAAGTTACTAAACTAATGTAAAATGTGGTTGTATTATTTTGCCTATACAACAATGAATAGTAATCTGTAAAGCAGATGTCTATAGTAATATACTGCTATAAAGTAGTATGAAGAAAACATGGCCAAAATGATTTTACAATAGATTTTTTCTTTAGCTGAGCATAATGTAAATACTTTTAAGTTAAATATATGTTAGACCCTATCCTAACAACTAGGAGTAAGACAACCTATGAAAATAATACCCACCCCCCCAATGTAGTGGAACCCTAGACACAGGCATCTGGAAAAACAACAGCTAACGAGAGTTAACTCAAAGTGGGCTCCAAGTTAGGAAAATGGTGGCATCAGTGTTTGGTTTGGCTGGGAAAGGTTTAACATTTTAAAAATTTGAATCCTTTCTCAGTTGGGCATTTATTCTCCAGGTACTTGACATTCCTTGTTGCTTTACATCAGTCTCTCTCACATTTATCTGCCTTGGGTCCTTAAACCCATTGAGTCTTTGATTCCTGATTTATCCAAAGAAAGGCCTACCTGACGAAACTAATCTTAAAATTGAATGTTAAGTAAGTTATTAGTATGGATTGACAAAATAGTGTTTGGGAAGGCAAGCCAGCTTGAAGGAAGGGAAGGAAGTAGAAATAGGAAGGAGTGCCTGGGTGGTTCTGTCAGTGGAACATGTGACTCTTGATCTTGGGGTTGTGAGCTCGAGCCCCACATTGGATGTAGAAATTACTTAAAAATAAAATCTTAAAAAAAAAGGAAAATGTTTACAAAACAAAAAGGGTTAACACAGCTGAAGCATCCGTTGAGAGAAAGTGGAAGATGAAATTGGTTGGTCCTGTAAATGGAAGGTCTCTTTTCCACGTGAAGGAGTTTGCTTTGCTCTGATAGAATCCACTGGGAAGGAACCCACCACAGCCTGTGTGACATGCTGAGATGGTATCTGAGAGAGTTTCTGTTCTTTGAATGATGGGCAGTATTTAGAAGGAATTGAAGGGAAGAAAGAAGGCCTTAATCTCAGTGCTCAGTGATAGGGGCCTGAAACAGTCCAGAGGTTTTCAAAATAGAGACTAAGAGCCTAATTTGAAGGAATCTGGGGCTGATTGGCCAAAGATGAAGATTCAGAGCTGTGAAGCCACCTTTGCTTCACTTTTCTTTGGTGCCTGATATTCAGGGTTTCCCGACATTTATCATTCTTTCTTGGGAAAGTCTACTCATTCCATCATCTCCTGTTTGCTCTGGATGAAGTCATACTAATTTAGGCCTTATCACTAGAGTATTTCTAAATAAAGGATCCTCTGGAGCTGATGTCTAATCCTTTTCCCTAGCCCCAATCCATCTCTCTCCCTCATTCTTACACATGACCAAAAGAGCTGCTTTCCCTGAAACAGTTCTTTCAGCAACTCACTTTGTTATTCCAAAAATTAGAAGCCCTTTCAGTTGTTTATCATGTCAAAGGCAGGACTTAAAGGCCATCCCTGAGGGGGTAATAGAAGAGATTAGGGCAGTTATTTCACAGGGTGATAAACCTTTTGAAATCCTGAGATCTAAAATTTAAATTACTGTCCTATTTATTCTGTAGTGTACAGCAGCTAAAACTGAAGATAAATTTTGAAGTCAAGGAAAGATTAGGCAGGGTTCGCCAGGTCCAATTCTCATCCTTTGTGTTGTGTTTCAAGTGTGAAAGAACTCTGTACACACACACAGACCTGCCCTTTGCTCACACAATATTCATTCCTGTCTCCTTGCTTTTCTGCTCAGGGCATTCCCTTTCATTTGTCTTTTCAAAATTGCTACTAAGATCCACTTTTCCATAAGCCCTTTGGCTTTTCTAATTATTTCTTCTAACCCATATTCTTCTCTGCTTTTTGAGAATTCTTACTGCACCTCCCCGTAGTACTTAGCCTAGTATTTAATCATTCTCACATGTTCCCCAAGTAACATGTGAACTCTGGCATGAAGGAGTAGCCCCACCCCCCCATCATACTCTTGAGTCTCCCATAGCAGATGTCTGTGGAGCACAAGGTAGTAGAAGAGCAGCATGGAAGAATAGGAGGATTGCTCCTGGGTCCTGGTCCCAGCTTAATTAATGATACACATGGCCTATGGGGAATAGGCCTTGACTGTATTTTCTGTGATTCAGAATTCTATAATTCTAGCAGTGTAAAAAGGCCTAATAGAATGGGATTAGGGGTAAGGGAAAAGAGACTGTAAATTAAGGTTGTGAGCCCAGAAAACCAAACTCCAGAAAAGTAGGAAAGATGTGCCATTTGGTTGAGGAAGGAGTAGGGAAGGGAAGTTAGTATAGCGTTTGCCCGTTTCGCTGTCATTGAGTTTCTAATGCAAAATGTCCTAGACAATGATAAGTAGTAGGCTATGGAGAGAAGGGAGTTGACCAATAGAGAAGAGATTCAAAGTCATCACCAAACAGGCGAAATGAGCCTCCAGGAGGGAGTGGATGAGAAAGAGCAAAGTGAAGGGCACTGGTTTTTGAAATGAAAGGCATGATAAAAGAGCTAAGAGGACTGGTGTCTCTGAGTGTACGGAAGCTGTGATATCCAGGGAGGAGTTAGCAGTTTGACAATTGAGAAAAGGTAGCATTTGTTTGACCAAGAAGAATTGATGAAATTGATAGAGAATTTCAAATTCCAGTGATGAGCTGAAGACAGTGTCTGAGTTGCAAAGAGTCAGGGAGGAAATTATAACCAGCCTCAAAGGAGTTTGAAAAAGCATTCCCATAGAGAAACATACTGGTGACTTTAGATACAGGAAATTATGCCTCAGACTATGGTAGATACCTATAGCATTTCTTCTAAATACACAATTCTATGACAAAATATTAAAGTTATGAGGAGGACAAAGCTTGTTATAAAACAAAGCATTGTTCTAGAAATTATATTCTCCTGGTGAAAATCTTGTAAGAAAACTGGTAACCTGTTTGACCCTCAACTAGAAACTAACCTATGGTAAAATGTGAGAAACTGGAAACCACAGTTCATTATCAAATATTTTAATTTTCTGTTTATAGTATCCTGTTAGATTCTGTAAAGTTCCTCTAATTATCTCTTCCTTCCCCCCCCAACCTTTTAAAAACATATCAAGAAACTAAGCAAAAATGTTTTTTTGATGTGAAATTGAGTTAGTATACTAATCATTTTTTGCCAAATTGCATCATTTAAAAAAACCTGACTACACTGCCCAATATACCTGTGGTTGTGTGATTCAGAGAAATGTCAGCAGTATGATCTTGCTCATTAAGGCATCTTAATATGATGATATATAAACCTAGTTATATAATGAAAAGATATTTTCACAGACTATGGCATTGACCAGATGAACAGATTTAAAGTTTAAACATTTAGTTCTGTGACACGGTAACGAAGGTTGACCTGTTTGTTTCTTATGTTTCTTTTAATAGAATTTAATTCCTTTTCGACCTTCCATTCAGTTCCAAGGGCTCCAAGGGGTGAGTACTCTTGTTGATTCAGCAAGAAAATCTAATATTCTTCTTACATGCTATTATATTTAAGCTCTTAAAATTTGTATTCACTTGTGCCTCAATATAAGGTCACTCATATTTTGTGAACTTTATGACTTAAATGTAAATTTTGGACACCTTAATACACTTGAATTATCTTTTCCTGATTTTAAAAAATAATTCAGATATACTTATTGAAGAGTAGTTTTTTGCCCTAATCATGAATAATGGCATTTTTTACCTTTTTTTGATGCATAATATATGTCACAGTATTATGAGAATTTTTTTACTGCAATTAAGCAACCATAAGGAATTGTTAATTTCAGTCAAGTTATGATTATGTGATTGTTGTTACTATTGATGAACTTTTGCTCTCTGTAGACCTAATTTCGATTGTACATACTAAGAAATGTGTAAATAGAAAATTGAGTTTTACCAGTACACAGAATAAATATTGTATATTTTATTGCTGCATTTAAAAGCATAATAAATGATAACTCCTAATAAAATATACCTATGAATTTTGTGTTTATAATAGATGATAAACTTTACAGGAGTAGTGTATTATTTTTTAATTATTACTATTAATATTTAATATTAATAAAAAGTCTTAATCATTCCTTCCTTTAATATGCATTTCTGAATTTGTGTCTATATATTGACTGTAGTATGGAGATTTGGAATATCTGTAAATGGATTTTAGAGCTCGAGAAAAAAAGGCAAGCTGAGAGAGGGAGATCATATTCCTGCTTATTATAAATCTACATTTGTAAATATTATGTCACAAAATGCAAAAACTCAATGTAAATCAATACAGTCTTTCTAAACTTTATAACTTGAAAACATTTCAAGAGTCAAGAGTTTAATTATATCATTCAGTACCAGCTAAGAGTACTTCTAAATAATGCTAACGTGAAGGAGATGTTTGTGTGTGGTTGTCAGAGCTCTTCTTCTACATGATAGCTTTACAATGAAGTTCTTTTTTTTTTCCTCCCCCAGTAACTGAGTGTTTATGAATGGGATCCTAATTGCAGCAAGCATCTTCTGCGTTTTGTTTTATCGCTTTTTAGGTCCTTAGCACCTCCTGGCACTATTTTGAGGTATTAGTTTTGGTTATTTATGTAAGGCTTCTTAAGTTTTGTCACAAAATTTAATGGCATCAATAATCTCTGAAAGCATGTTCCAGAGGCAAGCCTGAGTCTGTGAACGCTGGAGGGCTCCAGGGATTTTCAGTAAAGGGTTATCTGAGATGAGAGTTCAAGACCCAGGAGTGGAGAGTAAGGTTTGAACTGCTTTTCCATCAGTAGCAGCTGTTACCTTGTTTGGGATCTGCCTCTTCCCTTAATTCTCTTTTCCCAGTTAGGACATAAAGGCTAGGGAAATGCAAAAGAAGAACATTTTCTTAGGAGGCACCAAGTTAGACTGAATAATGAGAAACCAACATGTGCAGGCTTCCAAACTCTTGATTCAGACACATGCAGCTTTTAGCAGGCTTAGAAAGAATATGGTTTTCTCTGGCACACCATTTGCCCACAAAAGGACCCAGGCACCATTGCAAAGCTGGCAGTTGATATTTGAGACTTTGCATGTCCTTTTCTCAATTCTACCTCCCCCAGGCTTTCCTGTCTCATGTGTCCAGGCTTCCTCAGTTTATCTTTGCAAGCATCGTTCTCTTCCTACTCCATTCCTTGCCTGAGTGTGGTTCTGATAAAGATAACTTAGATGTAAATGACTGATAGGTTTAAATCTTAATGGGTGTTTGAATTTTAACAGATAAGCTTTTTTAACCCAAATGAATGGTTATTGGATCTAGTAGAGTGGGGGAAGGGGTAGGAGGCTGTAGCCTGAGAGCAATGGAATACTTGGCCCTACCTTGCTTGCTTAGCTTTTCGTCTCCTCTACCCCTCCACTCCCAACCCCACCCGAAGCCCCCTTTTTATTATTCTAACTGGGAACAAAATATATGGACTCAGCATTGTTTCTGAGCCTGCAGCTGCATTCCATCCACCCTTCCCCCCCTTCTCTTTGCAGAGTTCTCACCAGCCCTTTGGGACTTAGTAAAAACAAAGAGTCATTACAGGAGAGAGAGTGGGTTGGCACAGCCCACAGGGAATACGCAGAGCCACAAATGTGAGGGTCTTCTGTACAGTGCTCCTCTGTTATTCTCGAGAGCCATGATAGTTTAACATTGCCTGTGCTGATTGCTTTAAAAGCCCTGAAGAAGTATGCTTATAGTTTTCCTGTGTGGAAAATGTTCAGGACTTTTAAGAAGGCTTTAAAGGCTTAAATTTAGATTTCCCACAAAAGATCATTTTTCTTAATGTATTAAAATGAAAATTTTTAATACACTTTCAGAAATTTTGAAAGTTTTTCTGGAAAGGATTTGGCAAATCTAACAAATTTACAGTCTTTTTACATCAAATGTGATAAAAAATATACATTACCTATCATGATAGTGTCATATATAGGCATATTTGAAACCTAAATGAAGTACTGTTAAAATACCATTCCAAAGTGACCATTAAGAGACCGTTAAGAGTATTTTCGTTTCCGTGATGCTAAGCACGGCATGGTTATTGCTGTTCCTTTTTACTAATTATAGGATTTTTCTTGCTTCAGTAATGTCTTTAGAAGATCAGAATTTGGGTCTTGGCAGGTTAGCTTTTAAGCTTATTTACTTTTATGCCTGAACATGTTCTCTTAGGTTGAAGTTTTCCTCTAAATAAATGCAGCCTGGAACATTAAACAAACTAGAGCAGGATGCTGTTAACAGTGAAATTGCTGAGAACCATTGACTACCTAGATTTTTATCATTGCAGTTGACCTGCAGCTTTTATAGCATAAAAAAATGTAAATTGTGTCTTTCACATTCCAGCTCACCCCTTTCCCTTAGTGGAAGATGGTACTCAGTAAACTGAGCAGTCATTGAAGGCATTTTCTGGATTCAGAAAGATGAGGAAATATCTATGGGAGCAGTTGAGTATGATTTCTAAACTCATGAATATTAGGAGCTGAATAAATCAGCCAAAAATGCCTTGTGGATTCTGAAGGGTATGGGTCAACCAGTTATCCTCACGGTTCTAATCACATCTAGGATACTCATAACTAAAGGTTTATTGGGATTATAAATTTTCTATGGATCATTCTAATTGACTGAAAAGGTAGCTGGTCAGATTCACATGGGCTAGAGTAATGAGGTGTTTGAATTACAATGTTCAGAGGGGTGTACTGGTATAATGCACCTGGTTTCCAAAAGCTGTATCTTGATTGTCAGGTAATCATATATAGAAATACAGTTGTGCCTCTTGTATTTTAACTGGATACTGAAAATGTACCAGGTGAAAATCTTCCCAAAGTATGTGTTCTGGTAAAATTTTAAAAACTACACTCTGTATTTTTATGTTTGTTGAGGGCTTCTTGTCTAAAGACACAGTAGAGACAGAGCTATAATTAGTCTAAATTTTCATACTACCAGGGAAAAGTTCTCCTCAATATACTGTACAGCTTGGAAAGGAGAGGTATTAGAAGCAACTGAACTCATTGTTTTCAAGTAATAGCAGTTGTCACTGATACAGTTATCTACTAACCTAATTATTCTTCACAATAAATTCTAAACAGGTGCCTAAGCAATGGTTGTGCTAATAGGTTTGTTGTTGTATTTGTTTCTTATTTATTGCACATTGTTTTAGTCCTTACTGTTGCCAAGTACTTGGCTAAGTGCTTAGTGTGCAGATACAGGGATTTGTAAGACATGGGTCCGGTCCTTAGGGAACTCAGAGTCTCAGTCCAAACACATATAGACTAATACTCAGGAAAGAATTAATAATGCAGGACTTATCCAGAACTCACCACTCATAACTTCTATGTAAATGGCACTGTCAGGAGCAAGGCTCATGTGTGTATTTCTGATTGGTATCAATCAGCATTTTTTTTTTTAACTTTATTTTTTGGGGAGACAGAGAGAGCACAAGCAGGGGGAGTGGCAGGCGGAGGGAGAGGGAGGTTCCCCGCTGAGCAAGGAGGCCGATGCAGGACTGGATCCCCGCACCCTAGCAGACACTTAACCACCTGAGCCACCCAGGTGTCCTATAATCAGCATTTTATTTTATTTATTTATTTTTTAAGATTTTATTTATTTGTCTGAGAGAGAGAGCACAAGCAGGGGAAGCTGCAAGCAGAGGGAGAAGCAGGGAGCCTGCTGTGAGGCTCAATCCCAGGACCCTGAGATCATGACCTGAGCCAAAGGCAGGTGCTTAACTGACTGAGCCACCCAAATGTCCCTGAATCAGCATTTTAAACAAAGATTTCAGGGGATGCAAAATATATTCTGGTGATAGATAAGTAAAATTCCTGAAGGCCTATTAAAATCTGTATACACATACTCAAAAAGGTAAATTTGTGGTATCACTCAGATAAAAACTGAAATGGCAAGTTTTTCAACAGCAAATAATGGCCACATCTGCAGGCCTTTGGTGGCCTTGGAGTACACTTGCCTGCAGCCTCAGGGACTCATGTCCAGGGAATGAGTATCCCAGGGCAGTGAGAAATAATGTTAACTTTGTCACAGTAAATGCGATTCCAGACCTCAGTATTTATGAGAATGTTGTTCCAAAATTTTCTAATTGCCTTCTTCAGACTCAGCAATCCCAGAGGCTTTAAGAAAACAGAAGTTTAGTTTGGCATATATAATTTAGAAATTATTTTTAAAAAGAGGACTGAAAATAGCAAATATTTTCTATAAGTACCACATAGTGTCTCCTGTAAGATAGTGAGTCACATGTGCGTTTCCAGGAATAAACAAGGAATAACCAGCCAAACAAGTTTTAAATGTATGTCTTCCAAAAGGCACTGTGACCTTCTGAAGATTAAATCAGCATTTAACTGCTAACTTTAATGGCTTGAATAATGCTATAAAACTCTTACAGTGGAGTCATTAACTAAAAAGAACAGAGGGTTGCATTTTTCTTGCAAGCATTCAGAAATATTTT